TCTTACTGAAGATAATTCAGAAATGGTTACAGCAGTATATTGACAGAGAACTTACAGAAATGCAAGCTGGGTTCAGAAGAGGTCATGGAACGAGGGATATCCTTGCTGAGGCCAGATGGATTTTGGCTGAGAGCAAGCAAAGAATACCAGAAAGATGTTTACTTGTGTTTGGTTTGATGGTGTGGATCATAACCAATTGTGGATAACATTGAGAAGAGTGGGAGATGAATTGGCACGGTGGCAGCACCGATGGGCTCAGGTGCGGGAGGAATCGTGAAGCTGGCACAGGACCGGCAGTGTTCGTTCTGTTGCACGTTAACGTCCCTGTGAGTCGGAGATGACTCGTTGGCACCTAACAACAACTGACAGCATTGTACTTCAGGGTAGATCTTGGAGCCGTCATTTTGACAATAAATGAGCCGACCTCACCATTCCTCTTCACTCTGTCATTCCTGGCACAGTAGACCATATGACTGTCTGGGGACGTGTCCAGGGTCAGTCTCCCTTCCTGAAAGTGCAGCACCCCCCCCACATTTGGTCCAGTTGGCACCATCACTCAAGTATTAAAGACCCTTCATCAGCTCTCAGAAATCCGTCTGCTGGACCCTTCCTTAGAGACCTCCAGACGACGGGGTTCCTGCACTCCTGCCGCGTCTCCGTGTGGCTGGAGACGCGGGAACTGATGAGGGATGCCTGGTGCCCTGTGGGGAGGTGGCAGGTGACCTCGTCACCCCAGGGCTGTGTCTTAACTGATCCCCTGGTCCCACATGTATGTCTTGTGTCTGAAGGGACTGTGAGGAGGGGACAGTCTTCCAGGAAGGCTCCTGATGTCATTCCATCAGCCTGACGGTGACCACTGCACAGAGGAGGACAGGGGATGACTGCTGGTCAGCCAGACTCTGCAGAAGCCACCCCCGGCCTCATTCCCTCCCTCCCCTCCCTCCCCCTCTTTCTGTCTCTATCTATAGTGAGACCTGTGAGAGCTGGAATTTGACAGCACTCTGCCTTTTTTCCGGGTCTCACAGGTTTTCCTACTTTGGCAGGGTGTAGTCTTCCCATTTTCTGTCAGTAGTTTCCGGGGAGAATATTTTCGCCAACAGGTTTCTGCCTTACCCAGGTTCCGGCTTTTGCAGGTATCTATGTATGTATATAAAACAAAATGAAGCCCACTGCTGTGAGTCAGTTCTGACTCACAGCGACCCCCCTGGGTTTCTAAGCCTGTACATTTTTACACAAGTAGGTAGCCTCATCTTCCTCCTGTGGAGTAGCTGGTGGGTTTGAACCACCAACCTTTTGGTTAGCAGCCAAACGCCTTACCCAAGTACACCACCAGAGCTCCATAGATGTAAGTATATAGACATACAGCCCTCAGTATGGGGTACACCTCAATATAAAGAAAACAAAAGTCCTCACAACTGCACCAATAAGCAGCATGACGATAAATGGAGAGAAGATTGGAGCCTCTGACAGAGACTTCACATTGCTTGCTTCTGCAATCAGCCCAATGGAAGCAGCAGTCAGGACATCAGATGACGTATAGCACTGGGCAAGTCCTTCCGAGGAGCAGCTGGTGGGTTTGAACCACCAACCTTCTGGTCAGCAGTCAAATGCTTTAGGCACTGTGCCCCCAGAGCTCCTTAGAAAACCAGGACAGTCCCTGAAATAATGTGAAAGGGGAGTGGTGGCATCAGATCTCGTCTAACTGCAGGGAGGCGGGGAAGCACCAGCAGCCCCAAGAGGGTTTCTGTGAGGCGGGGTCAGACAGGCCGCCACCCCGAACCCTGACACCAGTCCTGACACCCACCACCTCCACGGCACCCCTCCACCAGCTTCCGTCACCCGTCGCCGTGGCTCCCAGAACGCACAGAGCACTGTCCCAGTCAATGGCTTGCTAAGAAAGCCACAGGCTGCGGCTCGGGGTCAGGGTCAGGGAGCACGGAGGCAAGGCCCTTCTCAGCGCAGGCCAGGCTCCTGGCTCCTCTCGGCCACGCGGGTCTCTCAGCCTCAGGACGGGCTCCTCTTGGTCCCGCCATCTGTTGCCACCGGCTCTGCTGCTGGGTCCCTTCTGGGCCTGTCTTATATATGCACACAGAGTCAGACCACAGATGAAGCGTGTTTTCAGAGGAGCCGTGCAGAGGCCTGTGAGGGACGGTGGGGCAGCAGAGGGTGGGTGCCGTAGGACCTGCACGTGCCGTTCAGGACCTTCCTGTTGACCTTTCTGTGTTGTGAGGTCCCAGAGGTGCGGAAACTGAGGCAAGGGACACAGTGGAGAGTCAGGTCTGGGACTTGGCCAGTAGGTTGCAGGGGTGACCAAAATCAAACAGCCACCCTTCCCAGTCTGTTTCAGTGCCCCGGTTTGGAGAGAAAAGCACACGGCACGACTTACAGGTTTTCGGGGGCATCTTGGGCATGTCCTCCTTTTTAGGGTTTGAAGGGCGCTTGTTTAGCAGTGGGAAGATGCTCTCATCTGCCTGGGGGCCCTGGGGGAGCCCCCACCCTGCAGCTGAGCTCTGTCTCCCTCTACACTGCACCCACTCTCTGCCTCAACCTCGTGCCCTCACAGGGACGGGGCCCCTGCCCTTTGCCTTCCCCACCAGGACACGTGTGTGTGTTCCTCATGTATGTGAGCACTGTGCATGCCTGGCCCAGGCTGGGTGTGGGGACACGCTGTGAGTCACCCAAGGGAGTGGCCCCAAGAGGCCCCAGTCTGTGGGGACCAAGGATGAGACCACTGTGGGTGCCCCATCAAGCTGGGTGACCAGGGCAGACTTCCTGAAGGAGGACGACCTCTGGTGAGGTTTGAAGGACTTGAGGTGTGGGAGCAGCTTTAGGACAAGGCCCTCTGGGAGAATAAACACAGACCAGTGTGTGATGCTTGGGGATTTATTGAGTCATGGCCTTCCGAGACCCCCGCCCCGAGATGGCTTTGCTGGCCCCAGCCGGCGGTGGGGAGGGGCTGTGGACGTACCCTTGGATCGTCCAACATGCCCGCGAGGCAGATCTGAGCATCCATTCCACAGGTTGGAAGACCGAGGCTCCACCAGGTGAGGCCACTGGCACCGGCGCAGTTTCTGCGGGCCTTTGTGGTCCCTCCGCGAGGGGCGGTGTAGACCCTGCTGGCTGGGAGCAGGGCAGGGTCTGCTGCAGAGGCTCCCGGGTGGGCCGAGAACATGGCCAGAGCCCCAGACCCTGTCTAGAAGAGCCCACACCCTTCACTGGCATCGCAGGACAGCCTCCCGGGACCCGGTCTGAGAGGTTCCCCTTCAGCGAGTGGGCGTGGCTGCAGATGACCCCGCCCCCACACTTGTGATGACTCCTCCTCCCCGCCCCTGCCTCAGCCTCCCCCACCCCACCCAGGCTCCCAGCTGTGATATCCACCTTGCAGTGGCCACGGCAGACCTAGGCTGTCAGCAACGCCACAGCCACGGGGACCGGGGGACCGTCTTGTCTGGGCTGAGGGAGGCGCAGGGCCCCAGGGCAGAGCCTCCGGCCGAGGTGCTAGGACAGGGTGCTGAGGAAGCCGGCTCTGGTGTGGGTGGTGCTGTTCTCACCTGCTCCGTGGGCCCCGGGGATCAGAGCGTCTGCCCGGGGCTCACTCGTACTCGTCCTTCCACATGTGGCGCCGGCAGTGCTCCTCGGCGCCGCACAGCTGGGCGCTCTCCAGGCTGCTGCACCAGAAGCTGGGGCCGCCGACGCACCGGTCGGTGCCCAGCAGCTGGCTGTGGGCGCCGTGGCAGGCCCCCACCTTCCTGCAGAGGGCGTCGGGCTCCATCATGGTCACGAGGCTCGCGACGAGCACAGGTTCGTACTCCGTGAGGAAGCGGCTGCACCGCACGCTGTAGGGCAGGGGCAGGATCCTGCAGCCGCCCTTGAGGGCCACCAGGATGTCCCGCTTGGTGGCCTTGCTCTGCAGGTTGCTGGCCGACATGTAGAGCAGCCTTTTACAGCCACTACAGAAGCTGCCCTGGTCCTCGTCGCCCAGCAGTGCCACAGGCATGCTGGGGAGCAGGGAGGCTGGGGACCGGCGCACCCTCCGGGCTGGGCACACCTCCACGGCACGGCACGCCTCCTCCGGGGAGTCCTTGGGCACCAGGCGCACCAGGTCAGCACCGTGGTCCTCCAGCAGGGAGCCGCACTCGGGCCGCAGGAGCTGGGGCAGGCGGCGGCACGTGGTCCCCAGGGTGCTCCTGATGTCTTCCTCGGTGTTGTCTCCACGGAGCCCTCCCTGCGCCCTGTGGGCCACCATCATGCACACGTCACAGGCCAGGTGGGACGACAGCCCTCGGATGAAGGTGGACTTGCGCTCGGCCGGCTCCTGGGAAGGGTCCCTGTGTGCAGCAGACGTCTCCGCCTGCAGGGGCCGGCCCCGCCCAGGGGAGCCCTCGGAACGCTGCCGGGCCGCGGTGGTGGGGCTGGCGGTGGCGGGGCCCAGGAGGCCGAGCAGCAGGAGGGTGAGCAGCATGGCCTCTGCGGCTTGCCAGGCCTTCAGTGCTCAGGGCAGGCGTGGCGAAGGTATAAAGCGGGCGCACCCGCCCCGCCTCCTGGCCACCCACAGCCTGCCCCCGCCTCTGGGATTCCTACCCCTCCCTCGCAGCTGCCTCTGCACCACGCACGGGCCTCGCACCTGCAACGCCTGCCCCGGCTTGCTCCCTTCCTTGGCTGAGAGACCCCGGGGGATACACCGCCTCACGTCTGGGAGGGACGTGAGGACACGCGTCCTTTCTGCTCCTCAGTTTGTTTGGATTGTAGTGAATGTGTGTTGTCAGCAGCCACTGAGTTGACTGATTCACAGCAACATTGTGTTCAATGGAACGAACCACTGCCCGGGCCTGCACCAGCCTCCCAGGCCCTGCTGCCTTGGAGCCCATTGTTGCAGCCCTTGTGTCCGTCCGTCTCACTGAAGGGCTTCCCCTTTTCTGCTGACCCTCCCCTTTACCAAGCGTGGCATCGCTCTCCAGGGACTGGTCCCTCCTGACAACATGACCAAGTAGGTGAAGCGAAGTCCGGCCACCGTCACTTGTAAGGACCGTTCCGGGTGCACTTCTCCGGGGCAGACTGGTTCCTTCTTCTGGCCGTCTGTGGTGTGGTCACCATCATTCGAAGGTGTCAGCCCTCCTCTGGTCTTCCTTACTGTCCAGCTTTTGCACACACACGAGGAGGTTGAAGATACCATCGCTTGGGCCGGGAGCTCTCGGTCCTCACAGTGGCGTCTTTGGTCTTCAGCGCTGTGAAGACGTCTTTGGCAGCCGAGTTGCCCGGCGCCACGTGGCGTCTGATTTCTCGGCTGCTGCTTTCAGGGGCGTTGATTGTGGATCCAGGTGAAAGGAGACCCTTGACACCTTCAGTCTTTCCTCTGCTCATGCTGTTGCCCTTTCACGTACAGGTAACGAGGCCGTTGCTGTTCCGCCGTCTGCACACGGGCCGGTCAGTGACCCTGCTGACATCCATCATGTGGTTCAGCTCGCAGTGTCCCCTACGCCTGTACCCGCCGCCTGCCCCTGGAGGCCTCCGGGGAACTGATGTGTACTCTTGCCCAGTCTAGACAACGCATGTAGGTGGGACCGCGGCGCCCCGTCCTTGAGTGAACGACCATCTCACACAGCGGTTTTGTTTTCTTTCATTGGGAGGCTTTTTCACACCCACCCTCTTTGGCCGGACGCCTGAATGAACTTGGTGACTCCACACCCGGCTGATCCCGGGCTCCTCTCCTGCACGTGGCCCTGAGGTCCACTCCGGCCGCGGCCCCTCGGCGGCCGCTCTGGTTCAGCAGTTGCCCCTCGGCGGCCCCTCTGGCCGAGCTCTGGGATCACATCAGCAGAGTGGGCAGCCGTGGGCCTCATGGGCCGCGCAGGGTGGGGGGAGCCAGCGTGTGCAGTGGGCCTGTCACTCAGCCACTGCCCTGGGTGTGGGGACAGCCGAGTGACGTGCACCCCGTGTCTGCTGGGGACAGGCACATACAGGGGCTGGTCTCCCCGCAGCTCTTAGCTTTGCTTTTCTTAGTTCCTCCGGGTGCGTAGGGAAGAGGGTGGGGGCCAGAGACATGGACCCGGCTCTGAGCTGGAGCGTGTTCGTTAACGAGGGGCTTGGGCTGAGGCTGCCTTCGGCCTGGTTTCCGTGGCCCTGGGGAGTGGGGAGGCCGGAGGGAGCCAGCCCTGAGCGGGGCTGGGTGGGGGCGCCCTGGATCGCTGGTATCCTTTGGGCGGGTTCGAGGCCCAGCGTGGGAGCCTCCCTCAGATTCCTGGCCTTGGAGCCTCCACGGGAGAGTCCCTCCGGGATGTGGGTCAGGCCCTCAGCCTGGGTTGCAGCAGCTGCGTGGAGGAATGTGGCCCGGCCGTCCCCACCGGCCTCCTTTGGGGCTGCGGGGTTGGGAGGAGAATGCAGACAGTCGGGTCCTCTGCTGGGGAAGCCTGTCCCAGGATGGCGGCTCCTTTGGGGGAGCTGGGGCGGCCTTGCACGGGGAGCTGTGTTCTCCGTTCATCCCGTTGTTCCCCGTCAGCGGTCCCTGAACTCCCCTGTCACCCTTCCCAGATAGTCAGGGTCCCCTGTGTGTCCCCTGCCCCCTCCCTCCCACCTGCCCCTGATACTGATGAGGTCCGTGAGTACACCTGCCGGTTCCACCAGTTCCAGGCTCTTCGTTAAGGGCTCATTCTTCTTCCTGGGGGAGGGGCTCCCCATCAGGGGCTCCCCTGGGGAGGCACCCCGGTCCACCCCAGGTCCCTGCTGCCTGGACACCCCTGGGCAATCTGGGGGTACACCTTCCACCCTTGTCTGTTGGGTTTACTCCAAGGCGAGGGATGCTGGGAGCCAGGTGTTGAGTAGACGCCCCCAGATGGTCTTGCAAAGCAGCTGTACCGTTCCCACTCCACCCAGAAGTGCTGAGAGCCTGGCTGCACCTCACCTGCCATGTTTTGGGGGAGTTGTGTTTAATTTTGATGTGATTTCAAACTCAGTGGCTGCAAGGACCTTCCGTCACCCTTGACCAGATGTGTTTGCCCGGCGGCTCTGGGAACCTCTCTCCTTGTCCCCTCTCCCCTCCCCCATCTCTCTCCTCCTCCCCCTCCTCCTCCCCTCTCTCCCACCCCCTTGGTCCCTTGGTCCTTCTCCCCCCTCCCCCACACATGTGTGTTTCCCCGGGATGTTTCGTGATATGTTGACCGGAGGGTAGAGCTGTTGTACGCCTTGAGTGCACTTACTTCATGGGGCGTGTCCTCAGGACCAGGATGTCCCCCGCCTGACCATGGCGCACCTGTCACATGAAGACCTGAGATGTGGGCCCAATACTCTCGTCGACCCCACGGCCCGTGTCCCCCCTTTGTTGACGGCCCCAGCGCCCTACGTTGGTAGGTTGCTTTCCAGGCCACGTTCCATCGGCATCACGTTTACGCCTGGTCATTCCACTGCTTACTCACCTGGCACCTGGCCCGTTTCCGTGCTGGTAATTCCCTTCTCGGCCGCAAGGACCCTGGCTGCCATTGTCCTGGGAATGTCGACTTGTCGGCCCAACCGCATGCGTACACGCGTCCTTCCAGCCTCTGGCCCCGCCGCTGTGGGGCCCACCCATAGGTTATGTGTGCTTGTTCTCTTTTGTTCGTTTCCTATCAAGGGAAAAGTTCCTTCTAGCAAATTTCACCCACCGAAAGTGTGCATTTGAGTGAATTTGGGGCAACACTCCCTTGTGTAAGCCACCCCCATCAGGACGTGGGGCGTTGTCCCATTTCCAGACTGGGCCGCCTCACCCTGTCAGTCTCCCCAGCCCGAGAGCGGCCTCTCTGCATTTGTTCTTGGTGGACTCGGGAGTCGCTGGTTGTGCGCACAGCCGACAGGCCGGGCTGCGAGGCGGCAGTTGGTCCTGCACGTGGCGCCTCAGAGTGAGGCCAGGGTTCTGCTTCTGAAGTCTGGCCCTGGAACCCGTGGAGCCCAGCTCGGCTCCCCCCCACGGAGGGCATCGGCCCGCCGGGAGCTTGTTCCATGCGTGTCCTCACCTGACTGCTGCTGCCTCTCCGCGGTCGGAGATGCGCCCTGTGCCGTTGGTCGCCACGCACGTGGCCGGGCCGCGGTCAGCCGTCGCTCGTGTACACGCCCCTCCCCTGGATTGCTGTCTGGGTGGCTGCCATACGGCCCGGCTCTGAATGTTGTCTCTGCGCCTCTTGCAGATCTCGTAGGACGAGCAGACAGGCGCGTTGCTGTTGGGTGTGAGCCTAGGGAGGAAGTGCCGAGCCTGAAGAAGTGGGTGTGTGTTTGCGGCCAGCTGCAGTACTGAGGCCCTGGCTGCTCTTCCAGCCTTTGATGGTGTCGTGAGGTGCCGTCCAGTGGCTTTCAGCTCGTAGTGCCCCCACGTACAGCAGAACGAGACATCACCCGGTCCTGGGCCGGCTCAGACTCGCTGCTGGGCTGGAGCCCACTGCTGCAGCCACCGTGGCAGCCCGTCTCGCTGAGGGGCTTCCTTCTCCTGCTGACCCTCCACAAAGCATGGCGCCCTTCTCCAGGGCACTGCTGCCTCCTGAGCACTTGGCAGAGGAGCTGAGACCAAGGCTGGGGATTCTCGCTCCCGAGGGGCATTCCGGCTGCACCGCCTCCAGGGCAGGTCCGGGAGCTCTTCCGGCAGCCCTGGCACTCAGCATTCTTCATCAGCACCACCGCTCAAGGGCATCAGCTCTTCTGTGGTCCTCCTTATTCACTGTCCGGCGCTCACGTGCATGTGAGGTGACTGAAAACACCATGGCTCGGGGCAGATGCACCGTAGTCCTCAAGTGATATCTTTGCTCTTCTGAACGTCAAAGATTTCAGACTTAACCTGCACACACACACACACACATCCACACACATGTACACACATCCACACATGCATCCACACATGCACACATTCACACACACACATTTACACATATACACATTCACACATACACACGTATACACACACAGTCACACATATATATACACACACAGTCACACATACCCACACATACATAATTGTTGTCGTTAGGTGCCATCGAATTGGCTCCAACTCATAGCAACAGAATGAAACGCTGCCTATTCATGTGCCGTGCATGCGTACATGCGCACACACATGCACACACATTCACACGCATACATGCATACGCACCCACCAAACCAAACCAAACTCACGGCCGTCGAGTTGGACCCTATTCAAAGCAACCCCTCCTTGGGTTTCCGAGGCAGCATCACTACGGAAGTAGATTGCCCAGCCTTCCTTCTGAGGAGTGGCTGGTGGGTCTGAACCAGCAGCCTTCTGGCTAGCAGTCAAGTGCCTTAGGCACTGTGCCACCAGAGCTCCCCTATGCACATACACACTCAAGCATACACGCATTCACACACACATGCATATACACACATACACACACAATCACATGCATCCACACATGCCCTGTGCACATACATACTCAAGCATACACACATTCACACATACACACACAATCACATGCATCCACACATACCCTGTGC